GTGCTCTTCCGATCTCCCCAAAACCCCAAAACCCCAAAACCCCGTCACTAATTATTGAGTGTATTCATAGAATTAATATAAAAATGAGATAGAGCTATTTGATGAGATAATGATTAGTTAGATTGAATTTTTATCAGAAATGTTTAATACTAGTTTTTAATGGTAAAACCAAGTGAGGGAGGATTGCTTTAGGATTAATTTTATAATATAACTAGGTGTCATTTGCTTGGATTAATCAGTAACAATCTCTTCATACGGTTTAAGATAGGGTTTTCTTCTTGAGTTAAATATTTACACTTCCATCTCCCTTATATGAATTGTGCATATAGGAGAGGTAGGAATTAAAAAACAATGAGACCATGTTTGCAAATAGGACTTGGTATTAAATGGGTATGAACAAGAAATTTACAAAGTTTACAGCTGGCCAAACTTTCCAATGTGCTGTCATGGTAGGAATAAATTTAATTTTTAAGTCCTCGTAAGATCTATTCAATCCATTACCGTCAAGTAAATTTATAGTTGTAAACCAGCCAGCCATAAAGATAGGTGAGACAATCAATTGATCAACTATTAGCTTCTTTGATAAGGCCATACTACTTTTCTTAGGGGCAATAAAAGGCAAGAGTTTTGTGAAGTGAAAATGAAGAATTGGGGCACTGAAAAATGCTCCCATTGCTGCAAAGTTAAACGTCCTCTTTACATTCCATTCATTTGTTTGTGAAATTTAGTATTCTAAAGTTAAATTAGTAAAAGTTATGTTTACTTTTTTCTAAGTATTGGCAGAGAAGATCTCCGACTGCTCCTAGCGTACCACTTGTAGCCATCTTTGTGAGGAAAGGTCTCTTGTTTAACGCATAGTTATATCTCTAGAGTAGATTCATTTATTTTTGTATTCAATTATTTAATTATCTTAAATTTAAACAAGTTTCTCTAGTTTGTTCAGAGCTATTCTTAATAATTCAATACTTTTCTGACTTTCCTTTTTTTAAATCTACTGGGGTTTTGGGGTTTTGGGGTTTTGGGGTTTTGGGGTTTTGGGG